TCTTATATTTGGTAGAAAATCTAGGGAATCGGCTAAATACGATTCCATTTTAACCCTTTTGCAACGGATGTCGTCCATGGACGACATGTTGTGTTCGCCTTCGCTTCAAGATTTAACACTACTAAGTTAAAGTATATTGATAGCCTGATTTGACCGTAAAATGGACCGATATGATGGTAAGGCTACGTTACGTTCCAGTTTTCATACAAAATGCTACTAAATAATGTCAAAATGCCATGTATTTGTTGTGCGATAAGGCGTTTCACACATAAAATGCAACTTCTCTTATATGTTCCCTCAAGCCATATCTCAAAGATGCAGTAACATGGTTTTTTGACATGTTCGCGTGTTCTAGGCTAGGTTTTCTATCTAAAATGCCCGACTGCACAGCAACCACATAGGAGATTTTGACAGTTTTGAGTACCACTTTATATGAAAACTGCTACAAAACATAGCCTAGCCATAACATTGGTGTATTTAACGGCAGAATCGGCCCCTGAGAATTCTAGTCTTCTATTGTAATTTCTAGTTCATTAGAGCGTAATTTTTAATATTTTGACACATTTTTATTGATGATGATAAATATATCTTAAAACTGAGCGGCACGCTGCTCCCGTACAGCAGCGGCACTCCTGCGGAAAGCGATTTTTTTTACAAAAATTCTTTAACCAGTTGACTGCGGCGTCCTCATTGAACTGGCAATTTTGTGTCGTCAGAATCGAAGTAAAATGTAATTGAATTTTTTTGAAATTTGATAAGTTTTTAAATACAATCTAAATGGCCATGAATAATATTTGAATAATTTTTTAGCCAATCTACTCGTCAAAATTCTGCTATTTCTCCACTGACGAGTATATTCGTCATTCACAGTCAACTGGTTAAATGACATTGCATGTATATATTATAATTATCTGAAAATTAACTAAAAATGTATTCAAATATTATTCATATAATTATGTGACAACTAAAAGCACTGTATTTGCAAGTCACGCGCTGTATATTTAAAAGTCAAACATATGCCATCATAATTCAAAATTCAAATAAAATTGTATGCACATACGATATACATATTCTAATGAATACGAATGACTGATCGATTTTGCATAATTAACAAGAGGGAAAAATATTATCAATTTATAATTAGTGTGATATTAGCGAATATATTCACAATTATTTGATTCACACCACAACCGGCGCAGCAGTCGCAAATACATCATAAAGTAATGGTTTAAATAACAAACTATTAATTTTAGAGCAATGAACATGTTTTAAATGCCAAATATATGCAGCATTTTAATTAAATTATAACGAGGTAATATTGTTAATCACAACAACGGATTCGCTAAAATTATAAAATATATGCAGAACAGTGCAATGAAAATTTCATATTTTAACTTGACATGTGTGTAAAACAGACAAAAATCAACATATTGTGGTGTCCATATTCGTTTTATACAATGTATGGTAACAAAAATATAATATCCCAAAACAAAAGTTAAAACAATATTTTTAACTATCAAATTGATTTAAAATATTCAAAAACACGACAGAAATATACATACACATATGTATATAATATGAAAATGAAAGAAAAGATAAGTAACAGTATGCAAAAATAATAATACACTGACGATGAATAACTGTAAATTGAGATGTTTTTATTCAAGAATAAAAAATCAATGTAATTATTAATAGGATATAGAAAAACTTAACACAATATAATAGTTCTTCCTCGTTTAAGTACAGCATTATAACGGTGCAAATGCACAGCGTAAAAATTCACATACCGCGCAAAAAATCGCATGAAGAGTTTACTCGACTTTTCTAGTATATAATTATTCAATTTTAAATGAATTTTTTAATTAATCGAGTATTTATATAAACAGTTGACACGTGCAATTATTTGTGCATGTTTGCGTTCCGAGCTTGTGTAATTGTGGGTCATGCAAATATTGCATACATCATGGGAATAAAATATATATCCTTACACTACTATACAATTTTGCTAATCGATTAGCAAACTTTTTTCAGCTATACAAGATAACCGTTGAGTATTGAAGCGTTATATGTCGTAATAAACTATATTTAATATGCAGTTTAAGTTAAGCCTTTAACCAAAGATTTGTAACATTCTGATCATAGTTTCATAAAGCAAAAGTATTGATACCAAACAAATATAAATTAAGATAAGAATCAAGCCACTGCTTCTCATGTAATAAATTTTGTCATCGACAGAGACGAGACCATCATCAACCTCGGCGCTTAACCGTTACGCCATGAAAAACGAATGTTAGAGATCTAATTATAAGCACCTTTATGTCATCTTCTTCTCCGTTTGTTCTGTTTATATATAATACGCAATTTAAGAAAAAAACGTATAAAATCAATGTTGCGTCGCAAAGAATAAAGTATAGAACAGAACGTTTTACTTCTCAACTCTTCGGATATTGAGAATGTAAACAATCCGGAATATTACCGACCATTAAATCTTCTTCTTCGGCAAAGAAAAGATGTGAACATAATTACGGGTCCGTGTTAGTTCAGTGTTTTCAATTGACTCGCGCCATATAACCCAGATTCCCTCGTCGTTTTCTACTTATCGTCGAAATGCATCACAAAGTTTAATAAGAGCGACGCTGTATCAATATTAATTATGTTAAGTGCACATTATATATGCAATAGAGGAAGCAGGGGATGGATGAACCGAGGACATGATAGACTGATAGATTAACAGTAAATCAACACATCTGAACTGCACTGCGCATTGTTTAATTTTCAAATTGAATAACGTTCATATTACGGACAAACTAAATATACTCATCGTACAAGTAAAACGGTTTATTGAAAATGTTTCTTGCAAAGCTTGAAAAATCATAAATTAATTAATTTGCCGTCTATGTAGGTAAGACCAGGGGTACGGAAGTAACAATCGTCATAACAGCTAAACTATACTGATATTGAAACAGGGTACAAAGTGAAAAAGATGAAGTATGTTTGTTAGAACAAGTTTACATCAGTGGTTTCTGGATCCGCGCATAACCGATAATCATCAGTTTTTGACAGATTTTAAAGAAAAAATGTATAATAACACTAGTCGTGATTTTGGCATATTAGTTAGAAGAAGAAAAATCATCGCATAGTTCATATTTTTTCTTGTTAACCTTGTTATTTATTGTTATATTATATTTATAGACTTTGTGATTGTTTGAATGATTATGTTATGATGTGTCACAATTTTCTGATATAATAATAGTTGTTATAATCCATTTTGGTGTTGTTACCTATTATTTTATAACCTAAGAAAGAAGAAAACTTATCTTGTGTGATTTGAGGTTATGAGGATTATACATAATAATCCATCGTATTTAAAGACAGTATTTCAGTATTTCCACGTAAAAAAATATTCAAGTTACATAATTAAACAAAATTATTGCTTATCAAAAAAAGCAACCATTCAAGTCTCCCCTACATAAAAGATAATGAAGAAATGAAGTAATACACCATAGTTCCGAAATGTCTAAAATAAAATTATAAATTTTTAAAAACATAATTGATGCCATTCCAATTTCATGTTTCGAGTACTTACATGATTATTATTTTAATATACATTTTTAATTATACCGCGTTTAGATAATCGCGTCTTAAGCAAGAAAGCATATTATGAGTGATAGAGACAACATATTTCGAATGTCTGAATTTTATATTACTTATTCACTTAAAATGACATAAAATTATATGTCGAAACGTATGTAAAAATAAAGATTCTATAAAATCTTTTCATTAATTATTTCATATATGCCTTCCAAAGTTTGTTACTTGTATATATTTAATATTTTTTCAACTTTTGCTACTAATTGTAAGTAGTTTTCCACAAATTTTTAAAAAATCTGACAACAGTTGTGAGATTTGCTTAGAATCAATTTTCCAACAAGTCAATAAAAGCTTCTACCGCCTGGTAATTAAATTTAGAAACAAAATATAATTTGTTTAAAAACTGCTTGTGTTATCTTGTTCAAGAACTGATTTGGTTTGCGCCAAAAGCAGTTCAAATGAAGACCAAAAACTAAATAACATTTGAGACGATGGTATAACACTTTTTACTGTAATTTGCGCTTAAAGCAGCCACCATTTAATAAAAACTTACGAAAAAAAAACATGTTTTATTAAAGAGACGACATGAAACTTGATAAAAGTCCAGGGGTCATTAAAAAATATTAGGTTTACCTCAATATGAAAAAAAAATAATGCTATATACTAGGAAAATAGGCAAAATATTTGATAAATTCAATATTAGAGAAATTCTAAAATATGTTGTTAAAATAAAAGTAATATATTGTACATAATTGAAATATTATATTGGAATTTTACGAAAGAGATCGTTTGGTAATTGGAAACATATTCCGTAAGATCAAAAAATCGGTAATCCTGATTTATAGAAAATAGATAAAATGAATTGTGCTGCACGATATCTGTTCATAAATATCTACAAATTTTATAACAATTATAAAGTTAGGAATAATAATAATAAATAGTCTGCCCAAAGATAGGTCCATGGTATGTGTAAGGAATATGATAGTTTATATAAACTTTAACAGCTCGACATCATCATTTCTACGAACTATAGCCGTGTCTCTATTCTGTTTTAGATAATGGCACTGCTCCAGCATATGGGTTAAACTAAAAAGTTGGTCAGTCCATCCCGATCTCTCCTACTTATGTACATAGCAGAACCTCCCAGACTTATTTCCGACAAAGCTCTGAACATAATTATCATACAATATGACAGAGAACACGGGTGAGCACACACGCTGCGTGCCTTCAAAGTTTAATTAATAATTTTATTATTTGTATAACTAACTGCGGAACTATTGATATTACGAGACCATTTATAAGCTACGGAAGTCATTTATAATGTCAAAACATGAATAATAAATCGTAAAGGTAGAAAAATTAAGACATCTATTCTAAATCATTTGCTGGCGAACTAAAATTAATCATACCTTAATTACTCAGCAGCTGCGGTGATCGAACAGCGCCTGGAGGCCGGATCCATCAGGATTCTGAAACAATGAACAATATGATGTATATTAACTACACAATTGAATACTAAAATTACATACAGTATAACCATGTTCTATAGCAATGCTACAAATCTAACTATAATAGAAATAAGAAAATCTGGCCCAAATCATACTACACATATAATCTTACACTGGAAGTTCTATACAAAATCATATTTGATGCAACGCAAATCAAATTATTAATAATCTCTAATTTTTATCCACAAGTGCAAATTCATCTGCATGTCCTTTAGAGTTATTTTTCTCACAAAACAAATACTAGCATCACATATTATTAACAGAAAATTTATCATTTATCGATGAACCACACACTTCTTGTTTAAAATAAACAAAATTACATATCATGTAATTTCACTTCCTTGTATTGATTCTTCTTATCGAAACGCGTTTGAAATCTTGTGAATTTTCCAAGGAATATTTCGATTAAAGGAAATGCAAATAAACGGATTTCTATCTACACCAATATTTAATACTAAATATGATATTTTAGAATTCAATCCCATTAAATATTTATTGTGAGTATATTAAACTTGCATATATAATTTTGATTCTGATATTTTATCAGAGAGAACTTTATCTCTATTATTAAAATCCCTTAGGGTAAGTCATAGTATTCGTAAAAAAATATTTTTTTTTACATAGTTTTATGTTTCAAAGCCTTCTGGACATTTTTGGCATACCTTAGAGACTAAATCTAAGGCGTAGACAAAATTTATGTATATGAATGTGCGTGCGTGTGTGTGCGGATACAATTTTTCCTCGACGATTTCGAGAACACGGATCCACCGATTTGAAAGATTCAAAAAAACATTAGATTCATATTGATAGGATAAACGTGCTAATTAGTTTTTGACCGAGTTAGGTTCAGCCATTTTCAAAATACGGGACAAAAAGTGCCAAAAACTGCAGTTTTTTTAAAGAACTGGGCGTCCGATTCAAATAATTCAAAAAACATTTTACATGTTTTGACAAAATGGAGAACAGATTAAATTTTTGGGAAGGCGGGTCTAACGGTTTCGAAGATCCAATGAAAAAAGTAAAAAAATGCCATTTGGCGGTTAACAATGTTGATATGGACATCAAATTATCAAATATTTTAGAAGTTTTAATAATATTTACAAATTTCTATTTGTAATTTCATACTTTTATTACATTTAGGTCTATTTTTTCACATTTACTCTAAGCATCTATTATAATCAAATTATAATGTTATCCTATTTTTATATCGTTAACAATCTCTGCGCATTGTTTTATCTAACAGATTGCAGAATGAAATGAATTAAAAAAATGTTTTTACATAACGTGAAAAAATAATATTATGGTACCTTTGCTAAATTAATTCAGCGGCGTGTACATATCAAGTTGTGGTACATCTCATATTGCAGGAAATTTGTTATTTTACTAGTTTAATGCATTCCAAACGGTAACAAATAAAACACAATAACACTCAAATCATTAATTATTATGATTTTATACTATGTGCTGAATAAATGAGATAAAAGCAACATGTTTTTTGTGCATTGATGGCATTGAGCCATAGTCTGACTCTAAAGTATGCCAAAATGTTCAGAAGGCTTTAAAATGTAAAAATATTTAAAAAAAATTTTAATTTTTTTTTGCGAATACTATTTGCGAATTTAAAAAAAAAATATTTTTTTGCGAATACTATTAACTTACCCTAAGGAATCATAATATTATAGAAAAAGTTCTCTCTGATAAAATATGGTGTAGGAGTAACTTAGTTCATACTTTCAACGTGCCCAATAAAAACACAGAAAAGACTGAATATTGAAGGTTTATATCAACTTTCTCTGTTACTGTATCAGCCCAAACGAATCGATTTATATAGCCAAAGTCCAAATTAATAGCACGCGACACAGTTATTCCATTAGTGGACAAGCATCATCCACAACTATGTGTAGCCACAGGGCAGTAAATCATAATTAAAATTTCAATCCTGTGTTCAAATCAATCTAAAACGGCGTTTTTAAACGTTTTGTGATTTACAGTTGCGTTCATTAAATAAATTATAGAGAAAATGTGTAAACGCTGTATTGATAGGGACGAATGTCGTTTTGTGGTGGATTTCGAATAAAAAAATACATTAATAAAACAATGTGTGGGGCTTGCATAGTTGGGGTTCAGAATTGGAAAACAAATAATACGCGTTTTACTGAAATAATACTAGCTTTTTGTCAATTTCGTTCAAACTAATCATCGGTGAAAAAATGGTTTTATACCATGCAATTCAGTTAATATTTCATCCAAACTGAGGAGTTTATTCGATCTCATAGTCATTCTCAAATTATACATAATTTTTATGCTACCAAAATTTGAAAAAAAGAATAATAATATTTTTGTTAGAAAATCACACATTTTTGTGATGCCTTAGTCTGCAACACCTTTCACTAAAACAATTTTTTTATTTATATTTATTAATTCTTAATTTTTGTTACTTATTATATACATATACTGTATACTTTTTTGATTTTTTTTATTACCTAAAGTTCAAGTTGAGTTTAAGCAAACAGTTTTGTATCATAAGACTCAAGTCTTGATTGACAAATTGACAAATAAAGATAATTTTTTTCTTGTTGTAATATAACTAAATAGCATTAATGATTTTTATCATTTTAATCATTTTTAGCATTTTAGCATTTAAGCAGCATAATCATCTCACTTTCTTAAAACTTTTGAATTTTTATAATTTTTCAAGCAGCATAATCATCTCACTTTCTTAAAACTTCTGAATTTTTTAACTTTTAACTGAATTAGGTATAGTTTGATACCATCATAATCATTGAATTGCTTATCATTTAAGATCGAAACAAAAAGTAGTCAGAAAGTGCAAGATCAGTACTATATAATAGGTGTGACAAAATATTACAACGAATCCAAAAACTGCTTCGATTTGTCAATTTAGGCCTCTTTCCTTCAACTGTGTTATTTCGTAAGTTGCTCAATGTAGACATCAGAATTGATAGTTCGGTTGCATTGTAAGAGTAAAAATAAACTATTTCATTGTCTGAACGACCAGAGCGTTTTTCATCTTTGAATGTAAAATCACCAGAACAAAATTTGGCAAACCAATTTTGACACTGCCCTTTTTCTAAGACTTCATCACCGTAAACAGCTTTAACCCTTTCCATTCGGATGCCACCGGTCTGGTGGCAAAATACATTACACGCAATTCGCGAGTGGAAAGGGTTGTTAGCTTTTTGTGAGCTTAAGTTCCTTTTTTACCTTTACAAGAATGAAAAAGCAACATCATAAAGTTTTGATGTAATTTTCCCTCTTTTAAAGAACGCCAAACAAAAACTAAGCAATCGATCAAAAAACTCTTTTTTCCTAATGGACATCTAAACTCCTAACTATCCATTAAAAGAAATCTACAAACTCAATTAAAACCACCTAAACTGAAAACCGCACTTACTTTGTTGCCAACCTGATATATAATGCCTTCTTATTTATTCTATTACGTTATATATTTTAAATTTTGCACACGAATGTACAATCTAATATACCACGAGCATATTTATCCTTTAAAGTTTCGCTAAAATATTGGCCAAGTTAAATACATGTTCGAAGAAAATGCGAAGCGTTTTCGTGGAGTGAGTCGATGATGCAACATCTAGCAAGTGGCAAAACTCTCACGAGAGATTTCGAACTCGCTGTCAAAACTCGCACCATCTTAACCCTAAATTGAAAACATTCAATTTCGCTAACATCTAAAATGATCTCTATTCAAAATAAGTTAAAAAGCTGTAGGAAGAGCAACAATAAGCTGTAAGAATACATGAGTCGGTATTCTGCTTTCTTTAGATACCAGTGTTGCACAATACTAGAAATCTGAATATAAATTTTCTTTTCCTTCAAACATATTTTTGGGTGAAAGTAAAAAAAAACATGTCAAGGATTATAAACGCATGTTTTAAAAAACCTGTATATAATTTTATGACTTTATTAATGTATAAGTTTATTAAGTATTACCATAATCTATATATTATATTTGTATTATAAATTATGTTGTTTTAAGACGAACATTTTTCAGTATTCCATTTATCCTGCCACAGAAAATGATAATGCCACATATATGAAAGACACAAACGAAACAGTCATTTTAATCAAGTCGTTTCTTTTCATCTTTGATTATATGTTATTTTCATCAAACAGAGCAACAGAAAAGCAACAATGCTTTACCACTGGGTCGGTAAATTTATTTAAACTTGTACATAATGGATTAGTCTTTAATTTTCGTTATTCAATAATTGGTCGATTTTTATAATCGGCAAAGTAGATGGATATTATGTAATTAGTTTTGTTATTAATGTATTTCTATTTAATTTGTTATTCAGATAAATTATTTTGTTTGTTATTTTGCTATAGGTTGAACATTAGTAGTTAATTACCAGCAATTAGTTTTTGCGTAGATAATTCACCTTGATCATAACGATCATTTGTCTTCAAAAGTGTGCGCTGGGTACGGTTGTGACATGTAATTCTTGTCCTTTTCGGATCAAGATTAAACAGAAATTTTAAATTAACCAACAATAAGACAAATTGCGAAAAAGAGAAAGAAAAATTCAATATAAGAAAAAAAAGTTTTACGAAGATTTCTTATTTTACTTTGTTTAAAAAATTATGTTTTGTTATATATATTTTTATATTATATTCATAAGCTTTGTTTGAATGATTATGTTTTGTTGTGTTACATATTTCTGACAATAAAAGTTATTTTGTTGTTTATGCCTATTATTTTTAACCTATTTTTATGCCTGTCACAACCGTCCTTAAAGATTTGGACGGTTACCATTTCCCTCTCGTTTAATATTATTATTAATACTACTATTCACGTTTTTATACACTTTTATACATTTTTCATTCCAAAATTCTTTCTCTTCTCTCCAAAGAAGTCGATCATCTGCATTCTTTTTCTTTGTAGTTCTTTCAGACCTTCTATTTTGCCTTAGAAGACGTTA